TATATGCAAGAAACTCTTCACGCAAACCATTTAGATTAGACAACATTTCCTTTTTTTCAATGTTTACGCGAGAATCAATGACGTCATATTACTGTGTGCACTCTCTGGTTTGAGATTATGTTCTACTCTATGCTAAATGTGTCGACGTCATATTTCGTTTTTCGAATTACTGTGCATGTTTTTATTTTGCTTGTGTTTTCTCTAGAGCGTTCTTGTCAGACAGAGCGTTCTTGTCAGACAGAGCGTTCTTGTCAGACAGACAGCGAAACTATTATTATAGATATTACCAATCAGATTCCACTAGACCTTCAACTACAAAACAACCGAATACAATTATGACATTTTAACACTTCGATACTTTTTACCTACGAAACCATATCAGCAACAGCCTGCCGCCGTTACTCCTAAATCTAAACGATTCATCAAAACTTACCAAACAAGTACAATACTTTGAAAACCCCGTCATTACAAAACTCTATAGATAACCGTTTGAAATGTGCGAAATTTAAATTACGAACTTATTTAAGCGTTTTCTACATCAATTATGTGACAACAAAATGATAAACCGGGAGTGATCTCACCTAAACTTTCTAGAATATTCTTATATAAAATAACAGGGGATGGGAACTCGGGATATAGACATGATTTTTTTTATTCATTTTAAATACTTAAACTTTTAAAAATAGAATAGAATCTCGTAGAAAAAAAAAAGAATTGCTCACCAAGTGAACGCCAAATAAAATGTGCATAATAGTGCGCAATATTATTAGTACTTTATAAATTTACATTCGTTTTTTGAGAAATCAGAAATAGCGTAAATTACTACTTCCGGTCAACGGAAATTACTCAAAATTTGACAGAAGGTAGAGAATTAGATCTTTTACTTACATGTGAAATTTCACTTATCTATCTATATATATAATTCTCTTCTTGGAGACGATAGAAAACACCAAGCTATAAGCGCGCTCCCTACCACCCCCACCCCTACATGGTCTGGGTGGGTGGGGTAGGGGTTGGTGGAAAGGAGTGGGGTATCGTCCTTAACGACCACCTGATAGTGTTTTAAAGCAAATATTTTCAGTGGCAGCGTTGGTACTGTTGAATTCACAAATTATGAATTACTGAAAAGTGGAAAATAAAACAACTAAATAGCGGCGTATGATACGCCGCGGGTCGGCTCGTCTGAAATAGTACTCAAGTTATAGACTTTTGAAAAAGTCAAAGTAGAAAAAGTTCTACTTCCGTTTATCAGAAATTGCTCAAAAGTTGATACGGATCTACGATTTTGTTAAAATACTTATATATGAAATTTCATCAACCTAGCTATAATGGTACTCTAGTTATCGTGTTTACAGACACACACACACACATACACATACACACACAGACATAAGAACAAGATTGCAAAACTATGTTTTTCCGACTCAGGGAGGTGTAAAACGTCGAGATTTTTTTAAATTTTTTTTTAATTTTTATTTTTGCACGATTATAGGTAGCGCCGGCCCTCTGTGTGTGTGTTTGTGTGAGTTACAAGACGTGTATTGTGTGGAGACAGCAATCACAGCTCAGCTGACTGGGGGGGGGGGGGGGGGGGATGGGGGGGGGGTTCTGAACAAGGCGACTACTGGGTGATTAGTGAGTCAGACCCACGGGTTAAAACCCCTCGACGACTTAGGAACAAGTTTTAATGAGAATGCGATCGAAACCGTTTTCTGTATCCGCGGCGACAAGTAGTCCCAAGAGTCTGGTTTAGCCTGGCGTAGGAAACTAAAAGTTAAGAATAACATGTGTGTTAGTCTGTCCTTTTTTTTTTACTTTGTTGATTTATCTAGCTATTTACCGTGTTTTGTGATTGTATAGTTTTATTTTTTTTTAAGTCTGTTATTGTATTGTTTTCTTTAAATCCGTACATTGAATAAAAGGGCTATTCTTCATTTTTTTGGGTCACAAAAACAGTGTTTCTTCCAAGGCATCTCCGCGGGGGGGGGGGGGGGGGAAGAGGGGCGAAGAAAATCTACCCCCACCCCCCCTCCGAAAGAAATCAAATTTATATAGAAAATATATACTTTTATAACTGTCCTCCCCCGCCCCCCCCCCCCTCGGAAATTTTAGTTCGCCCCTCCCCTCCCGAAAATTTCAAGTTCTCCCCCCCCCCCCCCCCCGAAGAAAAAAGCCTGGAAGAAACACTGGCTAGAGTTACTTTTGTATCTTAGGTATTTTTTTGTGTAAATGCGTCGATTGACTGATATTTAAAGGTTTAAATATAACTAATCTAATGCTGATTGACATTGGTGATTTGTGTATGATCTTTAGAGCGATAGGAGGCGGCTTGATATTTTTGTATGATCTTTAGAGCGATAGGATGCTGCTTGATATTTGTGTATGATCTTTAGAACGATAGAAGGCGGCTTGATATTTGTGTATGATCTTTAGAGCGATAGGGGGCGGCTTGATATTTTTGTATGATCTTTAGAGCGATAGGATGCTGCTTGATATTTTTGTATGATCTTTAGAGCGATAGGGGGCTGCTTGATATTTTTGTATGATCTTTAAAGCTATAGGATGCTGCTTGATATTTTTGTATGATCTTTAGAGCGATAGGGGGCTGCTTGATATTTTTGGTAACAGGTAGTTTATTCAGGTGTGCGCCGGATTAACGAATTAGCTCCACAAGCTATAGTTTAGGGGCCCCACTTTCTAGTCCCCCCCCCCCCCACACACACACCCACACACTACCTCCACTCACCCAAGTCTTTTTTTAAAACCGTGCTGGGCATTTTTATCACCAAAGGTATTGGTTGTTTTTTTTTTAAATACCATTTTCTTTTCTTTTTTTTCTCACGTAGTGGTGGAGCCTACGGTTTCTGTCCACTACAGTTATAAAAATATTGTTTTGGCCGGAAAACTTATTTTTCAAATTGCAAATATTTGGCACTGACATGATAATAATATCTGGGCTTACAAAGGCAGTGGCGTAGGCAGGGGGGGAGGGGGGGTTAGGGGGGTCATAACCCCCCCCCCCCCCATAGACCCCTCGGTATATAGAAAAAGTATGAGGGGGGATGCAAATGGAAAGTTTGAGGGGGGTGGTGCAAATCGAAAGTTTGAGGGGGCTGCAAATCGAAAGTTTGTCCCCAGGTAAATATTAACCCCCCACCCCCCCCTTCTTGAGACGATCCTGGCTACGCCACTGTACAAAGGTCTTTATATTCAAAATATCTTAAAGCCTTATCAAGTCTAAATTCGGTCGTGTGTGTGCAACAAGGATTCTCCTTTAAGTTTGAACAGTAGGTTAATTGTTCTATTTATCTGCTGTAGCCAATACATCGAATCTGTTAAAAATAGTTCTTTATACTATGATTGTTACCTTGTTTTTTTATATTCTGGCTATATTTCGAATTAATGTTTATCAGAGAGGTGAAAACGATATCGGTGTTAGATTGTCAGAGGCGTAGCGAGGGGGGCGGGGGCGAGGGGGACATATGTCCCCGGGCGCCGACCTTAGGGGGGGGGGGCTCCAAAATGGGTTGGAACAACAAATTAAATGTTTGAGGGGGGGGGGATGCAAATCGAAAGTTTGAGAGGGGGGGTGCAGATCAAAAGTTCGAGGGGGGTGCAAATCGAAAGTTTGTCCCCGGGCGCCGGGAAGGGTCGCTACGCCTCTGTAGATTGTTGAACTATGTTGATGCTAAACTGTGGACGACTCTTAAATAGAATGTAATAAAATTGAGCACGACACATACACTTTAATTCAAGTACACTTTGTGATTTAACCATAGTATGGCAGTTGTCATAAAGTATTTTTCTGCGGTTCACCTCTTTCAACACTTTCTTCAACATGCAAACCTGGTGACGTAACTGATACGTTTTCCCTGTGATAAAAAAAAATAATCTGGTTGGCTGATCTGTCAGTGACGTCATCGGGTCAAACGTGGGCGGCGCCGGGTGACCCGGGCTGGAATGTTGGCGCGGTTTTCAGCACAACCTGACCCTGTCGCAGGTGGGGTGTTTGTAAACCTGCGGCAGGTGGGGTGTTTGTAAACCTGCGGCAGGTGGGGTGTTTGTAAACCTGCGACAGGTTCTGTGTTTGTAAACCTGTCACAGGTTTGGGTGTTTGTAAACCTGCGCCAGATGGGGTGTATGTGAACCTGTGGCAGGTTGGGGTGTTTCTAAACCTGCGTCAGGTTGGTGGTTGTTTGTTAACCTGGCGAACGGGGAGCGGGTGGTGTGAAGAAATCTCGTGTCACTGTACCTCACTGTACCTCCACTGTAGCTGATTTAGATGCGTGAGAGGCTGACTCAGACCACGTGGGCTTGTGACGTCATTAGACGTGAGCGCTGTTTAGGTTTGCGGTTGGAGATTTTTTTGTCTGAGGGTCAACAACATTGACCCAACCCAGGGTGGATTTCTATAAAGTTTCTTTGTGAGTAATCTCTCTTGTAGATACACATTCCGTTATGATTTATCCCTCTAGTCTACTTTAACTGCTCAAGTAAAACTACCACTCCGTAAAACAAAGCTGCTGGTATATAATTTGAGACCACATTCAAATATTGTCGTAATTAAGGGTAGGAGGGGGGGGGGGGGACACGAGAATCATCATCTGTGATCCAGCCCAACTTCGGGAATTTCCGCGAAATGCATAGCTTAACTTTATCAATGGAAAGGGCTGGAAGGGGAATTCCCGAAAACCACTCCCACACCCCAACTTGAATGTGCTGTTGTTGACGTCTCGTTCACCCACGCCCGAGGTTTCGTGCACATCCCATTGAGAAAATAAACCATATGGATAGGATATTTCCTCATAGTTTCTAGCTTTTTGTTGTAAAAGGACTTTAAGGAATGTCTCAGTAGTGTACTTGTTTGAATAAAGTGTCAGAAATTTGAGATGTTAATATGTTGTAAAAATGTTTTTTTTTTTTTATAGTTATCGTACCTCATTTTTGCTAGGTTTTAAAATAGGATTATACAATATATTCTTAATTTTATGTACTTTCAGAAATCATTTCAAACTGCTAGAAACTGGACTATTGAACCATACTCTGCTGACTACCACGGATTACTACGGAAGATTGTAAAACGAACCATCTTCATGTGAATATTTCAGGAAACTTAACACATCACTAATACTTTAAGAAATTGCCATTCCTACAGTACAGTGCTATAGCAGCTTTTCCGTTTTCGTCTATTCTTGGACGTGTGATATTCCCTAGTTATAGCTGGTGCTTTTGTGTTATATATAACAAAGTGACCATTTTCGTTTCGGATATTTGGATATATGGATATGTGGATACAGTACTCTTAAGGTAAGTTACACTGTAATTTACTTAATCCGCTTGTATGTGATACTAATAATATTGTTTACTAACGAGGCCAGACATCTAGGTTAATTATTGATTAAGAATTTCAATTAGGTTTTTCTTGCTTAAAATAAACACATAAGTTTGTCCCAATAGTTTAATATTCTGCAATGTCCTGATTTGTCCAATATTATCTTGTAAAGTTTTTTATTGTCCTGTATTGTCCTATATTGTCCTGTATTGTCATGTATTGTCCTGTATTGTCATGTATTGTCCTGTATTGTCCTATATTGTAACCTTTGATTGGATGATTTTCACGGTTTTACAGTCTAGCCTTACCGTTGGTTCTAGGGTTGATTCACGTGTCTGGGGGGAGTATGCTTTAGAATGGTGTGTTTTAAAAACTAGTGACTGACCCGTGTGTTTAAACACGCGATCATTGACCCTTGTGTTTAAACACGCGATCATTGACCCTTGTGTTTACACAGTCGATGGCTGTCCCAAGTGTTTAAACACGTTATATCTGACCCGTGTTAAAACACTGGATGGATGACCCGTATGTTTAATCACGTGACGTCTGACCCGCGTAGAGGCTAGAGCTTACAGCTATTTAGTCTGGAGATCATCGCAGGGGTCTCGGATTAGTCTGATGGATTATCAAAGGGCAATTGTGATGGGCAGATTAATTATGAAACATTCAGTTAAACCTCTAGATTATAGACACCGCTTTCGCTAATGACATGCATCTTGCTTTAAGTTCAGCCAGCCTTACACATACCATATACATTCTATAGACGGCCATCACATACTATATACTTTGTCTAGACGGGCTTACACGTACCATATACATTCTATAGTCGACCATCACATACATTATACATTCTATAGTCGGCCTTACAAAAAGCTATTCTTTTTTTCTTTGAACAGTCTTACACACATCATTGAACAATCACATACTCAAATATTTCATTTGATTTACTTTCTACACTGTGAGGTTGAACTAGTTCTCATTGTTTATGTAAGCAAATTAAACTTTTGGCGGTTGATTGACACGACTTTCGTGGTACTTGAGCGATACGTGATGACCGCGTTATTAATTAATAAGGTACTTCTCTGGTCGCTTTCAAAAGAGCTGAGCGGACTCAAAGACGTTCTACTGACTTGAACCCGGATTCAAACTCGAGACTTTCGTGTTAGCAGTCTAGCGCTCTACCGCTAGAGTTTGAATCCGGGTTCAAGTCAGCAGACCGTCCTCCCAGCTCTAATGGGTACCTAACTCATATTAGGGAAAGTAAAGGCGGCTGGGCAAAGTGCTGACCACACTATCCCTTCATAAGCCGAGGTCATAGAAACAGATGAACTATACTTCACTTGCCCCATTGTTTGGAAGGGGAACTTTACGCCGTGGTTCCGAAAAACAGTATCACATATGTTACACACAATGAAAGTAACATTTTAGACCAGATGGCTTACTGGGCAGATAAAGTAGAGTTTATCTATACTCTAATCACGACTTGTACTGTGTTAGTGTAGTCAGCACTTCTATGGGACAAATCTGTAGGCTTAAGCTATGGAACCGAACTCGGCACTTGTGGGTTAGAAGTCGTACGCTCTACATATCACACCCCCCCCCCCCCCCCCCACTGGAATTTTTACATTTAATTTCTAACTGCGATGTTTGCGGATACATAACTCTACACGATACTTTACAGTTTCTATCCGTGCCAGAAAAAAATAATTAATTAAACGGCATCGATGTCTATAGTGCACATGGCCTTGCTTTCACAGAAAAACATAAAAAACTTTCCCTGAAACTTAGCGAGATAATTACCAGACTTATCGCTCTTGGTATTTGATCTCGAGTTTAGTGTCAGCTAAAGTAAGAAGAAAATTGTTTACCTTCAATCAAAGACAATCACTTATTATTTTCGGGAGTTTTTTTTTTTTTTTTTTGGCGTGCAAATTCTTGGCAAGAACGCCAACGCATTAGGTGCGAACTCTGAATGGTAAAAGTGTTAAAATGGTGCGTGTAATTATGTGATTTTGTGTGGAGAGTGATTAAGTATGTTTACTCGAAGATCAAGGACGTGTTAAATATAAGATGTTGGGTGGTTGCTTACCTTGTAATAAACTAAAGACTTGAGTAGAAAATATTTGTTGGCAACTAAATCGGTCACATTGCTAGCTTGGGTTTCCAATATTTTTGTTGGCATCTTTATGCTATAAACAAACAATAACACGGGACTAAAGGGAGCGACGTGGTCGGGAGGGACAGCGTATGATTTCTCCAAAGGTCCCGAGTTCAGACCTCCGAATTGTTTATTCTTGTGTGGTCTAATGGTTTAAAGCGAATTTTAAAAAAAGCAACAATCTAAGCCAACGGGCCATATATGGCGTATAACATGTTGACATTTAATACTTAATTAAAACGACCACCAATAATATAATTAAGAACGAAGGAGCATAATCAATAGGGTTAAATGTTTCGCTTTGGTAGGGACTGTTATAGTTTGTCCTGTTCCTGTAAAAACTACTGTTTAGTAAACTATGGAATGGTCATCTTTACCGACTCGTGCCCAGCTCAAGACACATGGGGTAGATGAAGTAGAGTTCATCTGTTTCAATGACCTCGGTATGCAAGTGGATAGTGTGGTCAGCACTCAGCTGGGTTGACTCATTGACGTCCTACAGAGGCAAGCCCGGGATCCGAACTTGAGACTTTCGGCCTAGCAGTAAACATCGAATTGCTGCACGAAATCGCACTGTGTTTATTAATGGCAAGATTTATTCCATAGATAAAAATAGTTTTGGTTGTTGTTGTGTTACGTAACATGCCAGTGACACCTGACCCCCATTTGGTGTCAGGCATGACAGTCACGTGACATGATAAACTGCGTCACATGACTCGTGGTATGCTGGACATGTGACTTGTGGTATTTGACCTTAGCGTACTCATACGAAATGTTTATGTTTATTGTCTTGAGTTTTGATTTATGTTTACAGTACATCATTTGTTTGTTGATTCATACTTAATAGGTAAAGACATTTGAATTGGGCTATATGGAAGTATGTTTATTGTTTCTAGATTTTGTTCTGATGTGTGCAATAATTTCTTGAATATTTCACATTAAGGGCACAATTAAAAACGTTCATAAGTTCTATTTTCTGTTCATAACCCATCGCTTTTTTCTCGTGTTAGTGTTAGAAAATGACTATATCGTGTTAAAAACTGCTAGTTCATGTTAAGCAATGGCAGGTCTCTGTTAAAACATGCCTTACGTTGTTTTGAAATACCTGATTTTTTTTTATAATTTTTTAGCCATGTTTCTAAAAATTCCATTTGTCTAAAAAAAAACCATAAACAATGTGTGATCGTCAATAGAGGAATGTATTATGTAAATTAAATGGACCTTGTCAGACAAAAGTGCGGTTGTTAAACGCATGTTGCTCTAAAGTTTATGTATCAGCGATTCACTGCTTCGAAACCCTACCTTCCTGTTGCACATTGTTTAAAATGTAATGTTTTTTTGACGAAGACTTACTTTCCGATACGTTGAAATTGAGTCTAATTATTTTAAACGGATAGTTCTGCTAGTTAAATAATAAAAATTAACCCTTCAAGTTCTGCTAGTTAGATAACGATTGTTAACCCTATGAGTTGTGCTAGTTATTATTAACCCTTCGAGTTCTGCTAGTTAAATAATAATTGTTAACCCTTTATGTTCTGCTAGTTAACTAACGACTTTTAACCCCTCCATCTCTGCTGGTTAAATAACGACGGCCACGAATGGTTAGCCGTGATTGATCTGATTTGATTTTAAACTGCTGGTACTCACACAACACTCGCTTCCTTACTCCCCCCCCCCCCACCCTCATCCCTTCAGTCAATTGACCTTTCGCCCCTGGGGTCAATAGGGGCGTTAGAGTAAAGGTGCTCGTGCCTTGCACGTGCGATTCCTGGTCGATGAGCGATTTCCTCGGCGTGACCCGGAAGAGGAAGTGACATTCAATTGGCTGCCATCTTGTACATGCTCATCAATCATCCCGTTTTTCAACAGGTTCCTGTCAATGTTTTGTTCCGCTGAATTCCGCGTCTGTGTAAATGAAAATGGTACATGCTGTCAGGGGTAATACCTGCAGTCTGGGGAAAAAAGTAATGATAAGAACAGGTAGTGTTAGTATCCTCACAAATTAAAGACAAGTACAAATACATTGGTTTTTTCGACCCATGGTCTTCATTTGTACAAAACAGTGTAAATTAAAAATAAAACGACAGTTTTGGACCTATATACAGACATGTGTGTCTGTTTGAAATATGTTTTTGAGTGTATATTTAGTTGACAATGTCTGTCCTTAACGTAAGTCCTAATCAATGCAATAAAAAAGGACGTGGTCTAGTGGGTAGAGGATACGAATGCAAGCGGAGCGTTTCTGTTTACCTTCAACGTTTAGCCGATGAAATCATGCCTGCCCTTCGCATGTTCTGCCAACAGCACTGTTTCTGTCATCATCAACTTCTTTGAGCTAGGTCATTGTTTCAGCCTTAGTCTGGACAACCATTTACACAACTTGTATATTAACCTGATGTCATGCTCGGCCTCTACACATCTTGTAAATTAGCACTTCTTCTTCGTCGTTCTCACTTCTAGTCTTGGGAGGGATTCCTTCCAACACAATTAAGAATTACGTGGTATCTTGTTATGCGCTCTATAGGCCATTGACTCCGATTTCAGCCTGCTTTTCTTTTTGGATTTTGCTTCCATGGCCTTTGTCCAACCAAGAACAAACTACAAGGCAGCAGTTGTTTAATTTTGGAGTTGTCTCTCCTAGAAGAGTGGCTGTCCCCAGCTAACGAGCCTCATCTGCCCGAGGGTTCGAACTCGAGACTTTTCGGTTTAGCAACCATGAGCTTTACCGACTCGACCACGCCGACCCCTAGAATTTTTCAAAGTCAGACAAAAAAAATTGAACTTATAAATTTCTAAAAAATGTATCCCCCAATAGAA